TATGTTACGATCAATCATTATAATACATAACTAAAACTTTAAACCATCATTAAATAAATCTCTTCAAAAATATTAAACATGACACTTTTTTTTATTTACCGAATATATAAAAAATTAAAATTTATATTTTTCATACAAAGTCTACATATACAAAAACCATATGAATATCATATTTTATTTGTTTTCAAATAAATAAATACATAAACATCATTTCAAGTGTTTGTTTAAATAATATAAATATAAAATGTAACAATTTTTACATGAATTTTATGGACTAAAAAACACTTAAAATGATGTTTATGTATTTATTTATTTGAAAACAAATAAAATATGATATTCATGTGGTATTTGTAAGTGTATTTATTTGCTTTTAAAAATATTAAATGAGATATAATATATAGATGAGATAAAAAACGGAATAGAAAACGAAAGGTCTAGAACATTTATGATTTATGAAAGATAATTAATATAATCAACAAAATAAATCTAAAAATTTGAAAAAAAATGAATTATGAATTATGAAATATATAGATAGATAAAAAACAGAATAAAAAACGAAAGATCTAGAACATTTATGAGTTAATGAAAGATAATTAATATAACCAACAAAATAAGTCCAAAATAAATCTAAAAATTTGAAAAAAATGAATTATGAAATAACTTTTGCACAAAGTGTCACATAAGAAACTTCATATTTTACTTTTAGATTTATATAAAATAATGATGTCAAATGCTCAATTAAGGACATCTCTAGCTTGAAAATTTTTGTTTTCATTTTGGAGAAAATAATGAAATACACATTTTTCATTCACGGATAAAAAAAAGTACTTAACTTATTTAACATTTCATAAATTAAAAACAATGCGAAAATCTCTTGAGAAAATCATATTGACAATGTGCCACAACATTTATTGTAAGTTTATTTTAGTTAGTAGATGAAAATAGTATAGTGAATATCCTATGAAGTTATGCAATGTGAAAGTTAAAGCTAATTAAGTTGGAAATGGTCATAGAAGTCTTCTTATAATGGAATACATATTTATCATTTAAGGGTAGAATAATATAATTTATTTAATATTATAAAAACATTGACAAATCATGGAGGAGCACATGAAAGTGTTTAAAGGTTTCATCTCCAAGAATGAAGAGGAAAAAGTTGGAGGTTAACCTTTTTAAGATTACCAAAACAACCCTATTTTAATGATGTTTTAAAATAAGGATAAAAAAGTCTTTTACATATCAAATATTTAAAAAAAATCAAAAATTTAGGAAAAAAGAAAGATAAGTTTCTAATATTTAGAGAAAGACACCTATTGTACTTGGTTTCTCTTTTATATATATATATATACACATATATACATATATATTGATGATTATTAATTACGTATAAACAATTATTGTGAACGGAGTTTAAATTCGTTTCTATAATATCTTGTAATCATTAAATATCAAAACTTTATTCGAAWTTATATGATCCAATCGTAAACACAATCATGTTTTACGATAACAACAAATCCAACAATATTGAAAAGAAAAAAATATGTAATAACAAATCACATTTTGTAAATAATATAATTTTTACATATCTTTTAAAAGCTTTTAAGTTTTCTTTAACTTTTATTTATTCGTTACTCACCAAATGATTTCTATTAACTGAAAAAAATCTTGAAATAGTCAAAATTTAACTGTAATTATCAATCATGTATAAAAAGTTATTGTTAATGAAGCTTAAATTCGAAAAAAGTTTATCATAGCCCGTGATTATAAAATATCAAAATTTTATTCGAATTTATATGATCAAATCATAAACACAATTTATATGATCCAATGTCAACATAATCATATCCTATGATAACAACACATCCAACAATATTGAAAAAGAAATATGTAATAACAAATCACATTTTTTAATGAATATAATTTCTACATATTTTTTAAAATCTTTGAATTCTTCTTCATCCCTCACCAAAGGATTTTATATGATTTCAATTTGTTTATTATTGAAACTTTAAAAAATAAATTTCATTAAGAAATTAAAGAAAGTAAATGGAAGAGCAAATCAAGAATTGGAGGTTAAACTTGGATATACAAAATTACAAAAATAACCCGGGTTAATTATGAGCTATACATTTTTCATCCAGGGACAAAAAAGTCTTTAATATATTCAACATTTAAAAAAATCAAAAAAAATGAGAAAAAAAGATAGGAAGGGTTCTAAACATTAGAAAGTGCCACCTCATTATCCTTAGTTTCTTCTTTAATATATATATATATATATATAGATTCTCACACGATCATTCGTCTCTCTCTCTCTCTCTCTCTCTCTCTCTCTATATATATATATATATATATAGGGTTGGGTTCATTGAAAAATGCTAAATAAATGAAAAAACTGGAAAATCATGAAAAACGACCAAATACATACAAAATTACATGTTATTTTACATTAAAGGTTGTGGCCGTAGTCGCATGAAACATATGTAAATATACATGTCATTTTAGTGTAAAATTATATATAATTTGATCGCTTTCTTATTCTCTTATTTAATTACCGTTTATGTATGAATTTCAATATATATATATATATATATATATATATTTATAGGGGCTTAATCAAATGAGAACTAATTAGTTTGTGGTAACTATGAGAACCATTGTGAGCCAATCATTTAAATAATTAATGTTATATCCTAAAATAACATAAAGGGTAAATTGGTAATGTTTATAATAATAAAACCCTAACCCACTTGTTCTTCGTTCTTTCATCGACTAACCCTCTTTTTCTATTGCTGCTTCTTCTTCTTCATCAAGTCGGCCGACGATTTGTTTCTACTTTCCCCGATTTCTGTTTTCAATTGTGTGGGGGATGGCGTCGATTGATCACATGAATATTGAATCTGAAGAGGAAGAAGTTAGAATTTTGTCAATATCTGATCCCTTACTCGGTGATCCACCGGCGTATACCATCATGCCGGTTCCACAGCGCCATAACTCGCCGTCGTCGCCTGTGGAAGTTAATTTGTTCAAGGAAGAGCCGATGGAACACGATTTGGAGGGTTCGATCCCTGTAGCCATCGTCCCAATGCCAACATCTAACAAACAAGTTGCGGTGGCCACGCCGCGGAGGGCTTCGAAATATTATAAAACTGCCTACAGTTATTTCTTTGAAGCATTTGAAGCATTCAATGCTCTTGATGATCCCAGAGCAGTTTACAGTCTCAAATATATGCTGCTATGCAAAATCATGGTGAAGAAACTGTCTTAGATGATATTGGACAAGAAGTTTGCTGGAACCCTGGATCAAGGCGTTGGGTGTCTCATCATCTTTGACGATCCAAAGGCAGATGCGATCTATCCTTCAACACTCGAGAGTATGATCACAGTGTAACATAGTGTATCACAGTGTATCACAATGTTCGGTTTCATTATTTTTGCTTGTTTTATCAAGGTGTATCACATGTTTTTATGGTTTGAGTTGGTATCACAATGGTATCACAGTATATCACAATGTGTATCACATTGTTTATCTTTGTGATTAATTGGTACCTAACGGAATAATGTTGGCCGGAGGCCGGAGATTGGAGGTCGGAGAGAGGAGGTCGGAGAGAGGAGAGATGAGTTTTTTAAAAATACCTAAAATGCCTCTAATTATAATTTTAACTTAAAATACCATAATTACTAATTTCCTTATTTATCCGTTGATTTGTGGTTAAGATTGGTTCTCACAGTTACCACAAACTAATCAATTCTCCCTTGAATGGGCCCCTATATTTATATATGTATATATATGTATATATGAGCTCATTTAAGAGAGAACTGACAAAATCTAAAATATAATTAAGATAATCATTGAGTTCTAACAAAATATTCAATTATTATATTTATAAAAAATTATATTGTTAAACCAAAAATAAATTACTTTGTTAATAAATCTAAATTAAATTAAAATAAAAAATTGAATTAAATAAGTTATACCAAAAAAATGAGAACTGTTAAATAGTTAATTTGATACTAATACTGATTTACTTTTTTCAAAATTTTATGCTATATTCAAATTTATATTTCATTTAAAAATAAAAACATTATCGTTTTCTCAAAACCACATAAAATCATATTATCGATAGAGATAAAGAATAAAAACTAAACATTGAAATCGAGATTTATCTCGCTGCATTGTGCGAGTACTCATCTAGTTATCCATTATATATCAGGTAAATTGACTCAAATAGTCATCCCATCCATTCAAATTGGTCTCTTAGCAATTTCTTTCCCGATTTTACTCAAATGTCACTACGTCCGCAATATCCACATCCGTAATGTTATATACCTGGCTAAAACATAGACAAAAATGAGCATATTCAATCCAGGTAAGCAATTGCGATGACCAAATTTGCAATACGACGGCCGCTTCGTAATTGTGACGGTACCACTTGCTAACTTGGTGGAATTTGAATTTTTTAGTCAGGTCGCATAATATTATGGATGTAGATATTGAAGATGTAGTAACATTTAGAAAAATGTGAAATAACAATGATTAAAACAATAATATAAATGATTGGAATGATATTCGAGTAAATTTCCCAGCATATTATCAATCATCCATAATTCTTTATTTTATTATTTATAATAATAACAAGAAAAACCAATTCATAAAAAAAAAATACGTATCACTCAAGTTACTTATTTATTATAAGTATAGATATTTAGTATTAAATGTAGGGCATACATACTATGACTATCGGACTCTTTGGCAATTGCTGCATAGTTTGGTGTAAAATGATTAAGTGTTCAGAATGATTAAAAGGCTCTCATGATATAGTGTAAAATGTAATATAATTGTTTGGTAATTGTATACAATAAAATTAGGGCTCTTAATGGTTAAGGGAGATCCATGATACAAAATCGTTCAAAGGGTTTTAGAACCATTAAGATACAAATTTTTTTTTTATCAAACAAAATTCACCTCTCAATGAAACTATTAAAAAATAAACAAAGAACCTCTACCTCTTACGTAAGACTCCCTGAATGAAGTCCTTCACTTCCGATATAAGGTGGTCAGATTCAGGCAACTCCGGGAACACGTAGAAACCATGGCACATATTTGGGTATTCCAACAAGTATACTTCTTTCCCACTATTTTTCACCCACTCGTAGTACCTTCTCTGCCAATCCTTTAGAGCATCGAACCCACCCACAACCACCATCGTTGCCGGAATATCCATGTTTGATATGTCCACCGCCTTTGGCCCACTCACATTGATGATCGGATGGCCACGGTCGTACCCTTCGCCTGCCGGCATAAACGACTTCCAATACCAATCTGTCCGCTTCAACGACACCAGAGGCGTTCCTTCCAGTTCTATCTCGGAATCTGTTCGCTCCATTCCTCCAAAGAATGGTTGAATCGCCACCACTCCAATTACCTTCAAACATCATGCATGCGTTTTACTGACTTCATTTCAAGTTTGGGTGAATTAATTGGATGTATAAACCAAGATCTAGCTAGTTAAGCAATGGATTGATATACCTTGAGTCGATGGAAGTTGAATTCGCAGGCTCGTTGAGCAACGTGATGAGCTAGGTTTCCGCCAGCGCTATCTCCGACGAGAAAGCAGCGTGAAATGTTCACATTCTCTGGTAAAGATTTCGAACCATTTTCCTGATCATCATCCAGAAATTTCAGCACATCAAAGCAATCATCATGTTGCGCAGGATACGGGTGCTCCGGTGCAAGACGGTAGTCGACGGAAACAATGATTGCAGGAAGTTTTCTGGCAAACCGGCGGCACACATCGTCGTAGAACTTCATGTCGGGGGAGAGGAATACGAATCCACCGCCATGAAAGAAGACAATGACAGGGAGATCTTCAACGGCGTGCTGAATTGGGAGAAAGACGCGAAACCATAGCTTGCGAGCGGGATCCACAACGACGTCGTATGTCTTGACACCGTTTCTGGGTTTGGACGTGGGGGGGCTCCGATAGTCAAAGAATTTGATGAGACGGCGGTTGACGGTGCCGTCTTTCCTCCTAGCTGCCTCGGTTACGGCGGAGAGAACCCAAAGTAAGATTCGTGTTTTCCAGGGCAAAGAGAGGGATGCCGGAGTTTTGGTGGCGGCTTCCATTGAAAGAAAATGAAACTTCACAGCCTGACAGCCACGGGTTTGTAAAAACATTTATGTTTAACGACAATAGTTGGTGTCTCGGTTTAAGTATGACTCTAAAAATCAAAAATAATTCGAGGTTTTATGTTTAAATTTAAGAAGGAATAAAAATCCCTCTGTAGCCATGAAGATTCAAATACGACGACCCCGAATTATCTGTAAAGCAGGTGGTTACTCTAAGATTTGTCGATTGACATAACGGATTGGATATTCAGATTAATTAAAAAAACATTTATATTTGAAAAACAGTTATCGTTATAATTTGGTAGAGCATCTTTTGGTCATCGAAATTGGTGGAGTGAATATGATATCACAACATAAGTATATTGTTGTAACGGTTCGTCATGATTAGGACCATACAATAACAGGTTGGACACCAGTTGCCATTAATAATTGTTTTAATGGTTGTTTGACCGGTTGATGAATGATTTAGCAAAAATTCGATTGGTGGTGGCCTGTGGACGTAAAACGACGATATTGGTCGACTTACGTTTGATTATTGATTTATTAGTCTATTTGATTTCGAGATTTTGAGATGGCATGGAGTGTCCCTACATCCGGCGTCGTAGGTCAGTAGCCAGTAGGTTTCGATCGAACTGGGAAGACTCAAGACTGATAAATGAATATACAACGGTCTTGGGCTAGATGCCCCTTTGGTTGTGGATGTCATGGGCCAAGGCCCATATCGCCCATGCCCAAAGCCGGCCCTACCGTTAACATTAAATTCTTAGATAGTGAAAAACTTAATACTAAAATGGTTTGTGATTGGTCTAAAATGTTATAAAGTTAATACAATAATTTCGGTTAACATTTGAACTAAACACACTCTATCTCTCTATATGTGTGTATGTATGATGTGCATATGTGTTCATATGCATATGTAATATCAAAGTATATGAGGGATAAATTTGTGGTTAATCTGTTGTTAATCCCTTGCTAATTGGTGATAAATTAGCAAAGGACTGACGACAAATATGTCATCCCTTGCTAATTATTCGTTTCTTTACACACTATTTTAAATGAATTGATTAATGAAATAACTTTTACCTACTCGTATCCAAGGTCGGTCCAAACATGTGAAAACCACGTGAAGAACCTAAATATGATCATATATTTTCTTGAGTAATGTTATATATTGATTTTTTATTATCAAGTTCGTAAATAAATTATTTCATATTAGAACATATGCGAAAATATAAAATAATTAGTAGAAGAGTACTCGTACAATGCAGCGAGATACATCTTGATTTTGATATTTCATTTTATTCTTTATCTCAGTTGATGTTATAATATGGTCGTATATGATTTTGAAAAAGCGATGATGTTTTTATTTTTGAAATAAAATATAAGTTTGAAGATATCATAAAAATTTGACAAAAATATATTGATATTAGTATCAAATTAACTATTTAAAATTCATCATTTTTTTGCATAATTTTTTAATTCAGTTTTTTTTTTTAATTTAATTTAGATACAATGAAGAAGTAATCTATATTTGGTTTAATAATATAATTTTCTTATAAATATAATAATTAATTATTTTGTTAGAACTCGATAATTATCCTAATTATATTTT